CCCCCTCTTGTCTCTACAAGATAAGTTTTTAGTCAAAAGGTTTGGCCTTATATTTAGGAACAAGCAATTTATCTGGACTATCTACTTGTTTCAGTACTTCACTGGTCTTTTTGTTGACCTTTATTAAGGATTAGAATTGGGAGGTACAGTAGAGAAAATTTGCACGTTGCAATAACTTAAACTCAAACCTGAAGCAAAGATAGGGTTGAGTAGAACCAAACTGATCTGATACAAAAGCCTAGCTTCACTCTTAAGTATAAATCCATGGAACTATTCTGCTCCCTGCTGCCACTTGAATTTCTTTTTCCTTTAATGATTTCTACTTGAAAGCGATATTCTTACTTCATCTTATGGATCTTGAATTGAATGGTTGATTGTCTGATGGAAAGAATGAAATGTAACTGCAACAATGAGTATGCTAATACTATTGTGTAACAGTAAAGAGATTGCTATACCGAGTAGTAACACCAAGAATGTTGTGTGGGATTTGCAATGCGAAAGTTGGAATCTTTATTAATCAGTGCACATGTACAAGTTAGTTGAACAAGATCTAATTTGAAAATGATAAAGAATTCTTATTGGTAATTGTTTACCCGTAAAACGATGCAGTTAAATTTGTTAGGTGGTTATAGACAAGCAAACTAGTTTGATCCAAAAATGATAAAGTAATAAGATTGAAAATGAGGCTTAGCAATTGAAATTAAAGAGGATGACAAGCTTGGCTCCGAGCGCAATGTCTCCGAGGACAAAATAAAAGCAATGATAAAGAACAAATAATGTTATTTAATTGAGAGCGAAAGCAAAACATAACATATGTTTCTCCAAGAATCTCCTTCGTTACAATGGTTGTTGAGCCTGCTATATATAGTTATACCTGGGGAAACAAGATTCTAAGAGCAAGCCTCACTTAAATGATAATAAATGAGTCTTTGATGAATATTTAACGACAGACCATAAATGTAAATATTCTCTATAACAGTTGCTCATTAATATTAGAGAATGTTCTCTCGTTGAATACTATCTGATGACAAATTTTTGATCTATTCCCGTTGAACATGCTCTCTTCGGAATTTACCCAATGTTGATTGCAGTTGTCGTATCCGGTACTGATTGTTACTTGACTCGTCTTTTACCTGTCTTCGGTTCCATGTGTCATGCTATTATTCGATCATTTATTATAAACTAATTTTACCCCATATAGATAGTCTCCCTGCTTTCTGGTGACATGTCTTTGTGTTACCGGGAAGTTGGTGAAGATCCCTTTCTTGGCAAAAAAGCTCCTGAAAGGTCTCTGACACTTTTAAGGAGGCACGTCTTCTCGCATTTAATACCCCAAACACGTGTTGCCCCATGATTCAGCAAATACTTTTGCCGGTTATCGAGGCAATCATGACCATGATTTTTATCGTCTATATCTTTACTTCTACTCATTACTTTACTTCTTTACATCCAAAGTTTTAGTTTTCATAAGTCCTTCTTCTTCTCTATACTTACTCTGCATTAGCTTAGAAAGTTTTCCATCTTCTTCACCGCTCTTAACAGAAGTTTTTTCTGACCCATTATTACCATGGCTTCTTTCACTGATCTTTTTGGAAACTTTGGTCTCCTCTTCGGTGAAGGCCCAAAGAGAAACAAGGACAAAGAAACTGATGTTGATTCTAAACCTCCCATTGTAAGCACCATCATACCAAAACACCTCAGTACTGCTAATGACTTCCAAGAGAAGGCTATTCCTCCATTCACCCTTCTGGTATCCTAACTGTGAAGGAGGACTGCAACTGCCCTAATCTTAAAATCCTCGCTCCGAACATATAAGAGCGGGTTACCTTCACCAATGAGGGTTTTACGTATGTTAATACGTATCCCTTTATCTTGGGTTCATTCTCCCTGGCTCGAATGAAGAGCTCGACCCCGTAGTTTTGGGGTTTTACCACCAGTACCGGGTCTGCTTAGTACAAGTAGGCCTATCTATATGGCGAACGGGGGCTTGCCTTCGCCAAACGTGCACGAAGTTCGGGAAAACCCTAATCCTTGCATACATGATGAATCTTTACTCTCCCAAAATTTTCTGTGGGAGAGTAATAAATTTCAGCAAATACTGCCACCACGCGATGGAGCGATTCGTCATCATCGCTACCAAGGACATCATCCAGCCACAACTCCGTATTTTCCTGAGTCGTTGAATCGTTTTCGTAAGTTTTCGATTCATTTCCTTCCTTCGTGAAAAGATTGTTTTCCGTTGTTGATGATCTTCTTACTTCTTTTGCTCCAGCTACCCGATAGGAGTCACCACGAGTCCAAGGTTTGGACCAGTGGGTCCAAAAAATTCTGAAAATCACACCACCAAAATCCCGTCGATGGAAGGAGATGGCCCTCAAATACGGGTGGAAGGCCAAAAATCACGATAACCTAAGTTCTTCTTCCTTTTATCTTTGTACGAACACATGTAACTTCATAAAAAAGTTGCTAACTCTGCTTTTTGTTCGATTCAGGAATTCTGCGGGGCTTTATCACCTTTCCTAAGGTCGACGTCTTAGCTGACCCCGAAAAGGCTAGGAGGGTGCTAGTGATGGAGAGGCTTCGCTTCAAAAGAGGAAAAGATTGGAATCAGCTCACCCGGATTCTCAGCCAAAGGAGCTTCAAAACCCGCCCACAGGAGAAACCCAAGTACTTTGGGGCGAGATGGACTTGACGGGTAAAGTCGATTCTCGATTTCCAATCCCCATTGCTACCTCTGTTCCAAGGAGTTCGGACCCTGGGCTTCATCTGCCTTCGACCAAGGAGCAAACAACAATCAGCACTGCCTCTATCGCAGTTGCTTCTCATCCTTCCACACCAACAACTTCACGCTCCTCAACACCAGCTGCAGCTTCACCACCAGAACCAACTGCATCTCCTCCACCGGCAACAGATGTTCGAGAAATGGGTGCTTTTCCTCCCCAGTCTCCCGACAATGGAAATTTGGGGTACAATTATTCACCTCTTCCCTAGATCCTCGAGCGAGGAGAAGTGCTACTCTTTCGATTTTGAAGGAGTGTCATCTATTATCCAAGCTAGTGGAGCTTGTGAATTATCTGAAGTCGCTGGCTTCAGAAAAAGATTGGAAGAAAATATGCTCCCTTTCGGGATAATGCTTGTTACATAATGCCATGCACAACGCGACAGTGGTGCCGTACTTGTTTTCTTATCACCTCTTTTCCATTCACTTGCTGTAATGGGAATCCTAACCTTGATACTCTTTTTATAGGCCAACTTTCTCGCTTCCGAATGCTTGCAGAGATTGATCCTCGATAAGAAAGGACTCTCTTCCGAGCGGGATCAACTGTTGGTCGAAAGGAACCAACTTACTGCATGCCTCCCAATTCTGGAGGCAAAAGCTGCATGGGTGAGCTCGAGTCTCAGTTGCAGCAGAGTGAGCAAGAGAAAATAGCATATATTCAAGAAGTTGCTCAATTGCACGAAAAACTTCAAGAGGCCAAGGATAACTGGGCCGAGTTACATGACGCTGAGCTTACTGCTGCCGAGCGTGAGTCGGCCTCGGAGGATCAAATAAATAACCTAAAGTCAGAGCTGACCTCCAAAACCAAGGAAGCAAATGTTTCCCAGGAGAAGAGGGCCAAAATGGAGGAGAGGTTTAAGAGAATCATGGAGCAAAATTGGACCATTTATCTACAACTATTGAACTTGATACTCGCCTAGGGCGCCATGAGATCCGAAAGGGATGGCCTTCAGGACGAAGTTGATAGAATTAAAGAAAAACTCCAGTATTAAGAAGATTCTCTCGTATTTGAGAAGACTTATGTTATATATCATATGAGTAGAAAACCTTGGAAGAGATCAAAGCGGGCATCGTCGACATTGAAGATTGCATCGTCAAGGCCCGAGAACTGGAGCTAACTGCTCGAGAAAATCTTCATGCTCGGCCCACTGCAACCGACTCTTCGAGCACCAGTTCCGAGTACTCGAGAACCGAAGGGGAGATTGAAGAAAATGATGATGAAGGTCCAGGCCCCGAACTGGTAGTAGATCCTCCTCCTTCGACCGGGGAAAATATAGACCCATCTATCCCTTCAGGTTCTGGCAGCGATGATGTTTAACTTCTTCTCCTATTTTTATATCTGGTAATTATGCCAAACTTTTCACTAAGTTTGGAACATAGATAAATATAGAATTTTTTGCTTAAGTGTTGTGAAATATATTCCTTTTAATTTATTAAAGCTTCGGGTATATCTTCATCCGATAACTTTTGATTCCGCACACAAATTCTTCCGGAATCAACCCTTTACTATAAGAGTTTTATAAGAGAGGGACCTCTTATTTTTACGGTGTTCTTGAAGAGGACATCTCCTGTTCATTCAGACACAAGCATTTGAAGTTTTTGATAACTTTCAAATGATAAAATCAACTCATCATTTAAACAAGAAATAAGATAAAAATAAAAGGACTTTATTTTATTCCTTATATCTTTAAAAGTACACGAGCATTCACTTGCTAAATTAAAAAACTATCAATACATGTGGCTAATTTGTACAACTTATTTCTACGGGATGGTCATACAGTCCCCGGTCCTGATGAGACATTATTGTTCTAGGTTCTAGCAGTCCCCGATTTTTGTTACATTCTTGTCGCCATATCTTATATTATCCCCCCGGTGTTCGAGTGCGAAATATGCGAATTGGAACATTGGAAGTCTTGCTTCATTGGTGGAAACAACTTGCGAATGGTTAAATAGTCTTTGGTTCGATGGCAAGCTTTGCTTTTCATCAGCGGTTTGCCATCGAGCCAAAGATTATTTAACCATCTCCATAGTGGTTTATCATTGATGTGAAGATTTCAATGCCTTATCATTTAAAGGTCTTATTCTTACCGATGATGCTCCTTCCATAGTATGCTTTCTGTTGCTGCCTCGTTAAAAACCTTGCTAGAAAAACCCGATTAGGACAAAAACTAGTCGAAGAGAAAAAGAGTGCAGCACATACTTTCAGTATTGATATGATCCATCAGTAGTAGTACCTTTTGAGATGAGTCACGATCCAATTACTGGGCAACTTGAATCCATTTTGATTCTCCAATTCATACGATCCATTACCAGTAACAGCTGAAATCCGGTAAGGACTTTCCCATATTGGACCTAACTTCCTGGTGTTGACTTCCCGAGTGCTCTGAGTCACCTTTCTCAAAACCAAGTCTCCTATTTTGAAGTAGCGGAGGTTGTCCCTCTGATTATAATATCTTTCCATCATTTGCTCTTGGGCCACCATCCTCACGTATGCCAAGTCCCTGTGTTCGTCTAGCAAGTCTAGCCTCACCAAGAACGCATCATTGTTTGCTTCTTCGTTTGATTGGGAAAACCTTAAAGTTGGTTCCCCTACTTCCACCGGTATAAGAGCTTCCACACCATATACGAGAGAGAAAGGTGTTTCTCCCGTGCTTGACTTTGTCGTTGTTCGGTATGCCCATTGTACACCTGGTAACTCTTCGAGCCATTTTCCTTTAGCAGCCTCTAGCTTCTTTTTAAGGTTTTGGATAATCACCTTATTTGTTGATTTTGCTTGTCTGTCAGCACTCGGATGGTATGGTGAAGATGTAATCCTCTTGATTTTCAGATTTTCCAAAAACTTTATGACTTTTGAGCCTATGAAGTGCGGCCTATTGTCACAAGCAATTTCCTTCGATATTTTGAATCGGCAGATTATATGGTCCCATATGAAGTCTATCACTTCAAGTTTAGTGAAGTAGTCAGTTAAAACTAATAGAAATCTTACCTTTCCGGGGCCCGGTGGCAGAGGACAGACTATGTACGTTCCCCATTTCATGAATGGCCATGGGGACAACACCTGAATGCAATACTTCTACTGGTTGTTGCACTAATTGCGCATGACATTAATATTTGTCGCATTTCTAAACGGATGCCTTTGCATCCTGCTCCATCCAGCGCCAATAGCAACCTGCCCTATCCAGCTTTAGAACTCACGAATTTGTATTGGAATGATTCCCGCAAATTCCTTCGTGAACTTCTCTCATCATGTAGTCCGCCTACGAGGCTCCCAAACATCGTGCCAATGGTATTTGGTATGATATTCTATACAATTGTCCATCCACGAGGCAATAACGAGGTGCTTTGGTTCGTAGTTCCCGGGATGACTTCGGGTCTTTGGGTAATTTGCCATGTCGAAGATATTCAACGAACTCGTTTCTCCAGTCCCAGACTAGGTTGGTTGAGTTGACCTCGCAGTAACCATCCACATCCAATACCTAATGTAGAAGTTGAGCGATAGTACTGGAGTCAGATCCTTTCATCTCCGTAAATTACCCTAAATTGGCCAATGCATATGCTTCCACATTTTCTTCCCTTGGAATGTGAATGATCGACCATTCCCTGAATTGTGTAAGCAATGCCTGAACCTCTTTCACATACTGTTGCATGTGTTCTTCATTGGTGTCAAAAATCCCGTACACTTGGTTTACTACCAGCTGGGAATCACATTTTATCTTGATGACCTTGGAGCCAAGTCCTCGGTCCAGTTCAAGTCCTGCAACCAAAGCCTTATACTTGGCTTCATTGTTAGTTAATGGAACGGTCTTAATGGCCCGCCTTAGGGTTTCTCCCGAGACCAAAACTTTTTACATTGGAAGCTCTATCTGTAAAAAAGGTCCAAACTCTTGATATCATTTTCGACACCAACATTGCTTCCTTAGCAGCTAAGGGCATTAATCCGGGACCGAAATCGGCCACAAAGTCAACAAAAACCTGTGACTTGATCGAAGTCTTACGCTTGTACTCGATGTCGAACTCACTAATTTCGACTGCCTATTTAGCTAACCGTCCTGATAACTCAGGCTTGTGAAGGACATTCCTTAAGGAAAAGGTTGTCACAACGGCTATCGGGTGGCATTGAAAATAAGGTTTAAGCTTTTTAGAGGCGACTACGAGAGCAAAGGCCAGCTTCTCGAGATGCAAATAGCGAGTCTCCGCTCCCGATAATATTTTACTAACATAATAAACAAGAAATTGCATACCTTCTTCCTCTCAAACTAAAACGATACTTACCGCTACTTCCGAGACCGCTACATATATTAGCAACTGTTCGCCTTCCCCCAATTTTGACAATAACGGGGGGCTTGATAGGTATCTTTTTAGGTATTTCAAGGACTGTTGGCATTCTGGAGTCCGTTCGAAACTATTTTTCTTTTTGAGGAGTGAGAATAAGTGATGACACTTTTTAGAGGATCTCGAGATAAACCTACTTAGGGCCGCCAATCTTTTGGTCAACCTTTGTACCTCTTTTAAATTTGTCAATTGGTCTGTAATGTCCTCGATAGCTTTAATCTTGTCGAGATTTATCTCGATCCCTCTTTGCGAGACCAGGAACCTCAAGAATTTTTTGGAACCAACCCCGAATGCACATTTTTCTAGGTTGAGTTTCATGTTATGCTTCCTCAAGATATCGGAAGTTTCTTGGACGTATTTCAAATGATCTCCTGCATTCAAAGACTTGACTAGCATGTCATCATTGTATACCTCCATTGTTTTGCCTATCTAATTTTCAAGTATTTTGTTAACAACGTTCTTAATCCCAAATGGCATCACATTATAGCAGTATGTGCCAAATTTCGTTATAAAAGAAGTTTTTTCCTGATCCTATGGGTTCATCTTGATTTGATTATACCCGGTGTAAGCATCAAGGAAACTCATCAACTCGTGTTCGGCCATAGCATCAATCATTTGATCAATGTTTGAAAAGTCCTTAGGGCTCGCCTTATTTAAATCCTTATAATCTACGCACATTCTAAACTTGTTATTCTTCTTTGGAACTACAACTACATTGGCTAACCCTTCTGGATATTTTAGCTCCCGTATGGAACTGATATTGAGTAATCGGGTTACCTCTTCTTTAATAAACATGCTCCTAACCTCCGCTATTGAGCGTTTCTTTTGTCTTACCGGTGGGAAGTTTGGATCCAGGCTTATCTTGATCACGGTCACCTCTAGTGGGATATCTGTTATGTCCGTGTGCAGCCATCCAAAACAATCAATGTTAGATTTAAGAAAATATATAAACCCTAACCTGAGCTCGGGGTTTGGCCCTGTCCCCAGATGGAACTTCTTCTCCAAGAACTCTTCGAATAAGGTCACTTACTCGAGTTCCTCTATGGTCGACTTGGTCGCATCCGTCTCCTCTGGTACCTGAAAATATCTTGGAACTTGATAAGATTCCGATGACTCCTCATTTTATCATCTTCCTCGGGAAAGAGAGAAAGCATCGGTTCCTGTGCTTGCTATTTGGTGGGCTCTTTTCCCTTGCTGCTAGAAATAGTTACCGCGATCACCTCTCTTGCATCCGGTTGATCTCCCCTTATCTGTTTGATTCCTTTAGGGGTCAGGAATTTCAACAACTGATGATACGTTGAGGGCACAACCTTTATCTCGTGTATCCACGGCCTCCCGAGGATTACATTATAGCCCATGTTTCCATCTACTACTTTGAATAAGGTTGTCTTGGTTACCTTTTCGGCGTTCATGGGAAGCAGGATCTCTCCTCGAGTTGTCACACTTTTCAAGTTGAATCCAACTAAGAGTTTTGTTACCAGAATGATGCTTTCGGTCAGCTTTGCTTGCTCCAACACTCTCCATTGGATGATGTGGGTTGAGCTTCTTAGGTCAACCAAAACACGCTTAATTTTAAAATCTAAAACATTAAGAGAGATTACCAAAGCGTCATTATGTGAGAGGAGTCCGTCTGCGTCTTCCTCCATGAAGGTGATATCATCTTTCGCGACTTCCCTGATTTTTTTGTTGTGAGTCACCAATATCTTTATTTTTGCGTGGCCGACGAGAAGGTTACACCGTTGATTTCATTCCCTCATAAAATCATGTTGATAGTCAACCGAGGGGAGTCTTCTGCCACCTTTGAAGGCTCTCATTATCCCGCCTTCGGCCATAGTAGTTCTTGGCTTGATCCCTTAACAATTTCTTGAGATGGACATTCTTTAATATTGTCGCCACCTCTTCACGTAGATTCTGGCAGTCCCCAGTTCTATGATCCTAAGTCCCATGATACTCACACCATAAGTTGGGATCCCTCTGGTTGGGATCAGATCTGATTGGCTTCGAGAATCGTGCTTCTTTGATATTCTGCATCGTCGATACCAACTCCACTAACCTGATGTTGAAGTTGTAATCTGATAACCTTGGATATGTGGAGTCTCGGGCACCCGGTACATTTTTTCTTGTAATGACTTGTTGTTCCAGCTACGATCAGCTCTTCTATCGGGAGTGAACCTATCTGAGGACCAAAACCCTTTGTTGTTGCATCCCTCAGTTCTTTCATATGGTAGGAAACAAACTTTAGAAGACTGCCGATCCGCATCAAAGTCGCTTTTAAATTTGTCCTGGTTTTTATCTCGGTCTCATCCCTTGGTTGATGTCGGGAAATCGAGCTGATCGTCTTATATTCTTATTTTTGACTCGTAACGATTATGGACATCCGCCCATATGGTTTCTTGAAGTTCGAGCAAGCTTTCCTTCAACTTCCGGAAGGTATTAGAGCTTTATGGACGCCTACACTACCCACTCATCTGGTACAGCCGGTTGAAACATCCTCTCTTTCTGGAACCAGATCACGAATTCTCGCAGCGAATTCGGACTCACCTTGCGCAATCGTGAATATGTCCTCCTTCCTGGCTTGAACCTTAATTAATCAATCTACAAGAATTTCAACAGAGTAAACTGAATGATCGGGTAAGAGTGAATACCATGTCACGACCCCCTTTGTGAGGGTTTCACTAAACTTCTTTAGTAAGACTGATTCGATCTCATTTTGAGCAAAATCATTCCCTTTCACATATGTGGTATATGTCGTGATGTGTTCCTGTGGATCCGAAGTCCCATCATATTTTGGTATATCCGGCATCTTGAACCTCTTCGAAATTAACTTTGGTGATGCACTCGGCTTAAAGGGCAATTGCGTGTATTTTTTTCGAATCTAGGCCTTTCAAAACTGGCGGTGCGCTCGGAATCTGATTCATTCGGGGATGAAACTCCTTCGCATTTTGATCCATTCATTCGTTCGTTTCCCTCATAAACCTCATGAGCACGGCTTTGAAGGGGTCATTCCCAAATTCGCTACCGGTTCCCCCGGCGCAATCGAAACCAATTTCACCCTTGGGATGTTGTTTTGAACCCTTTGAGTCGCTTGATTTGTAGGAGCGCTGGGAGGAATCGGGCCCCTTTCGTTTGCATTCTTAGAAGCACCTGACAACGCTTGTTTTAACTCCGTCATTACTCGTTCCTGCCTTGAGAGGTGACTCATGATTGCTTTCCGTTGTTCTCTTAAGATTTTCACTATTTGCATGACATGATCCTCCTTTGCATCATTGGGAGTTGGCTCGCGCACATGCCGGGGGTATTGCCCTTCACAAATCGGGTTTGCTTCGTCCCCTTCGTTACGGGTGTCGCTGATTGAGTTATCATGTTAACGCAAATCTTCGTGCACCTTAACGCTGTGTGTGATGTTGATATCATTAGCTGCCATTTCTGATTTCTTGCTAAGAAAAAATCAAATACATTAGTAATAAATGTAAGGATCAAAGCAATTACGCAACTATCTAATCCCCACAATGGGCGCCAAATTATTTACCCGTATAACGGTACAGTTAAATTTGTTACGTGTTTTATAGACAAGCGAACTATGTGATCCAAATTTGATAAAGTAATAAGATTGAAAATGAGACTTAGCAATTGAAATTGAAGAAGATGACGAGCCTGGCTCCGAGCGCAATGCCTCCGAGGACAAAAATAAAAGCAATGATAGAGAGCAAATAATGTTGATTAATTGAGAGCGAAAGTAAAATATAGCATAAGTTTCTCCAAGAATTTCCTCCATTACAATGGTTGCTAAGCTTGCTATTTGTTGTTTTACCTAGGGAAACGAGATCCTATGATCAAGCCTCACTTAAATGATAATAAAGAGTCATTGATGAATATGTAATGGCAGACCATGAATGCAAATATTCTCCACAACGGTTTCTCATTAATATTAGAGAATATTCTCTCGTGGAATGATATCCGATGACAAATACTCGATCAATTTTTGTTGGCCATGCTCCCTTCGGAATTTACCCGATGTCGATTGCAGTTGTCGTATCCGGTACTAGTTGTTACTTGATTCGCCTTTTACCTGTCTTCGATTTCACGTGTCATGCTATTATTAGACCATTTATTATAAATCAATTTTATCCCATACAGTAATACTATCATATATTTAATCGGAAAAATATTTTTGATTTACTTAAGTAAGGTGCCTTAGTTTAAGGGTGTCTTTTATCTCTTCATTCTAAGCTTTATTATAAGTCAAACCTCTCTATGACATCTTTATTTGTTCCAATATTTTTTTTATGCTATAGGAAAGTGTTGTTATAGAAGACATATGTTATAACAAACATAACATAAAAATCAGTTTCGAGTAAAACTTGACTTTTATAGTGAATGATTGTTATATAGGGATGATATTATAAAGATGTCTGACCTCATTATTAAATGTACGTTTTAATTTCAAATTCTTCTAGCATAAATAATATCACATATACACACATAAGTTATTGTGATATACTAGTATTTATGTGTGAAACAGAAATGGTAAACCAAATTGTAAGTGGTAAGAGTGGTTATACGTTGCTAAAAAAATGGATGAATTAAACTAAATAGCCGCCCACCCAATCACTTAAACTAAAAATAGACGATATATGTATAATATATGTATAATTAGTGCATAAACTATGTATACCGGCTAGAAAAGGAAAAGGGACTTTATCGTATATATACAAGATTTTACACTTATTTATCCGATTTTGTTTAAGTTTTCATATTTACAGGTAGTAACAAAAGTTTCTTACGAAATATATACAAATCCGGTCAAAATTTACAATTATCTACAACAAAAATACATATTCTTTGTACAGAATCCGGTCAAAAACTACAATTTATATACAATTACGTAAGTTGTAGATATTCTGTATATCGTTTCTACATTCGACATACAAAATATATACAATTTATTCATGTCTTCTTTTTCGAGTTTCAATCTGAAATTTCAACCAAAACCACCTCGAATCTTCACCAAATTGTCTCAAATTTGAGAAATAAACTCCTACGGATATTCCC